CCCCAAAACCCCAAAACCCCAAAACCCCAAAACCCCATGGTGAATAATGTTTGTAATGTTCTTATCATTGTAGAATTTATTATTAACTTTTTATATAATAAAAGGTTTGTTCAATGGAAAGAATAAATAAGCAGGCTCAATCTTAGACCTACCAAGATAAACCTGTTATCTAGGAGCATCAATAATCTGATGGTGGCCCACCAGTTTTAAATGAAAAGGAAGAGGTCAAGGAATATTTAAAGGCGGAAAGTTAGAATGATTCTGGTGACGAAAGCTCGAGTCACTAAAATTAGATTGACACTCACTTTAAGCCTAGTGATCCCTTGATAATTAACAATTATATGTATATTAAGGAGATCTACAATGTTAATCTATCGCCAACATTAATATCATTAACCACACATAACTGTTCAAATATTGTAAGAACATATTTTAAAAATTATCATGATTCCATTTATAGAGAGTCATTAAAAAAAGCATAAGAAAAGAAAAGTTGATAAATGAGACTTAGCTTGGATATGCAAGAAACGAATGCATTATTCACTCTTAACTCAAGCATGAAAACATAGTAGAGTTATATGATTATACTGAAACTGATAAGGAAATAGTACTGTTCATGGAGTTCTGTAATGATGCAAACTATTTCGAGGAAAAAATAGAAGCAGTAAGTTAACAAAAAATATCTGAATTAATTCAAATATTAATGAACATTTTGTCTATTAACATTCGCACTGACATCACCATGATCTTAAATTGAAAATTGATCATATTCCATTACTTCGATTTGATAATTATATTCACTTATTTACTTTGATTATAGTCCTTAACACCAATCATGAACTAATACAAGTTACAATCATACGCAAATGATATCTTGTAAGGAGTTGATTACTTGCACTCCATTGGGGTGATTCATAGTGATCTCAAACTATAAAATGCATTGGTAAATCGTCCGGATGCGGATGATTCAGACTGTGGAGAACTGCCAATTGTAAAATTGTGTGATTTTGGACTATCACACATCATGAGTACCGAATATGGAGGCAAAGCATTAATGGTAGAAAAATGTGGAACGAGCGGTTATATAGCTCCTGAGATAGGAACTAAGAATACACTTGTGGGGCCGGAAATAGATCTCTGGTCTTTTGGTGTAATGCTCTACGAGATGTGCACAGCCTATAAGCCAACGAAACTACTAAATTATAGATATGGTAAGACCTATACCTCATTTAAACTAAACTCATTTAGGTAGTGGACCGATTCCTTATAGGGATAGAGATTGGAGGAAGCATAATAAACATATTAAAGATTTAATCACGAGATGCCTTGAAATGGATCCTAAAAAAAGAATTACTTCGCTTGAAGCCCTATAGCATCCTTGGTTTTAAGATGACTTAGGAGATTGATTTGAATGATAAAGTCCATCATCCATGATGATGATTAAAGAGTCAATTGCTAATTAATAGCTATAGTCTTACAACTATATTTATTAAAAAGTGTTGCCTCTGAAGGTATAGTTGTATATCTTGTCAGCATACTATAACTTTGTATTCATTCATGCACAGTTATTTAAGGATAAAGTGCAGAAGATAAATACACTGTTAGTTGATATATAATGTGCCAATGTGTAAATATATTAGGTTAATGATTATTACTAATAATTTGATTAATCTTGTCAAATTAAAAACTTATTAATAAAAGTTTAAATTTTCCCAAATCATCAATCCTTGAAAGTTTCTAACACTTCTTGAAGAGTTGGAATGGCTGGTCCAGCTCCAAATTTAGTGATGGCCAAAAATCCTGCTTTATTTCCAAATACTAAAGCCTCCTCAGGAGTAGCTCCTTCTAACATCTTGACTGCAAAGCCTCCACTAAAGCAGTCACCTGCCCCAGTGGTATCTACCAATTTCAAGTGAGGGAAATCATTTATGTCGAATGCCTTCTAGTGAACCTCCATAATTTCTCCCTAACCTTTTGTATATTTTAAGTAGGCTGATCCGTGTTCTCCCATTTTAAGAACTACAGTGAGATCTCTGTGAATTTCATTGGTTTCATGGTCTCCTACGAACTTCTCTAGAGCATGCTTTGCTTCTTCAAATGTTACTACTTTATGGTTTATGACTCTTTCCAATTCAGTCTATAATAAAAAATGTAAATAAAAATCTTATGAGTTATTGGGATATATTGTGTTTGTTATAAGATATATACCTCATTCGGTGAAATAATATCTACTAAGCTAAGAAGTTCCTCTGATAAAGGCTCGTCTCTTCCACCGACATCAAGGATAACCATAGTTCCTGCCTATTTAGCTGTTCTTGCAGCTACAATATTGACATATTCCGGAACTTCTCTCTAGAGTAGTAGAATTTTACCTATATATTATGCATTATAATATTGGTTAACTCACTTGTTCTAACTGCCTCAGCCCAGGCTGGATCTAATTCAGTCATATTTGGATCATAAGCGGCGTTTGCAGCTCCATTAATGATAATTGAATTGTTGCCATCCTTAAGAGCTAGAATATATGCCTGACCTAATTTAGTTTATGTTTTGAAACAGCCATTAAGATGGAATTTAAAAAAAGCTTACCAGTATCTACTCCATCTAGCAATTTAATATTCTTAGTTTCAACACCATGCTTTTTAAACTCTTCAATATAGCCTCTACCAGACTCATCGTTTCCAAGTTAAACTAGCATCTCGCACTTAGCACCTAATTTAGCGCAGGTAATGGCTTAATTAGCACCCTAAAAACAATGATCATTACTAGCTGAAACCTAATAATTGCTATACCTTTCCTCCATATGATTTTTCACAGCCATGAGCATCAATAGTTTCTCCAATTTATGGGATACGATCTGTAGATTTAAGATTATTAGCTGCACTAGCTTACCAATTTTGAAGAAATAGTCTTGACTTGCTGATCCTAGGACTACTATTTTATCTTATTTAGATTCCATCAAAGATATATTAAGATATTATACTTTAAATTTTCCTTTTTTCAAAATCATATATGATTATTAAATAATTGCTAAGGGGTTTTGGGGTTTTGGGGTTTTGGGG